AACGGGAGATGTCAGTAGCCAGGTCACGGGATAGTGGCCGTGTCAGCTGTGTGAGGTGTGTCAATTGTGTCAGCTCAGTGTCAGTAGCTAGGTCATGGTGTGTCAAGTGCGTCACCGTTCGTGTCGGCTGTGTCACCGTTGTCTTTTCGCCGTTCCAGATTGTCCCCGACGAGCGGAAGGACCAGCGGTATTGGACGCGCCGCCAGCGAAACAACACGGCCGCCAAGCGCTCGCGCGACGCCCGCCGTCTCAAAGAGAACCAGATAGCACTGCGGGCCAACTTCTTGGAGAAGGAGGTAGGTGGCCGCCGCCGACGGTGCAGTCCCTGGCCCTGACAGGCCTCGATTACGCAACGCTGAATGCTGCGCCAGGCCGACCTGATGAAAGACGGCCTTTCGCGGTAAAACGGTTCAGCTGTAACAGCGCTCCGCTTCATCACTGCTCTGCGCTTTTTGTAGGCTTATCCTGTTCTGCGCAGCTGTTCTCACATTTATTCCGCCGTGCGGTAATTGGTGCCTTACCTCGTATCCGCGCGCTTTCATCCCATAGTTTGCTGGAGATGAGATACGTAATAATGTGCGTTATTTGAAGATGAGTAGAGCTATCACTTTTATTGTTGACGTGTTACATAACGAAAGTTCTGCTCGACTAGTAATTGGCTCGAGCCTTTTTATGCTCGGCCACGTCGCTCGCATAAGTTCCGGAGCACTGACGCGACGGGAGTTGAACAGATGAACGGGACAGATGAGCAACCTTTTCACGTTCAACACTGTTGCCTTGTGTTGACCTGACTTTGTGTGACTATAACCTGACCGGTCGCCCCTGCCATCAGAACGCCGCCCTCCGAGAAGTAATGGATGAGCTGAACAGGAAGAACCAGGAGCTGAAGGCACGGGTAGAGAACTGCCACTGCCGCTAGACGCGGCCGGCAGCGGACAGGCGACCGACTCGGCACTCACACGATCCCGCACGCTCCAGAGAGCCCCGATGGGCCTCTCTCCGTCTCACTCTCTGCTACTCTCTGTCGACCTGCAACTCAGCCAGTGTTCACCACCGCGCGCGGCCAACAAACTCGGCTCACTGCAAAATCGCGTTCCGTGGAAAGAAAGTGCTCGGCTGTTGAAAGAATAAATCAATCTTTCGGACCTGGCGTGCATCAATGTAGTTGAAGGCATTTGGAACGACCCTAGGGCACTGGTTTAGTTTAGCTGATTGAGATTAGTACCCTAATCATATGCTTGCTACATTTACAAAGGTAACGCCGTTTAAGTTCGCACGCATACTACATACTTTGGCATATCAGTCTTAGGCGCCGTGAATCAATAGCGGAGTATTGCAGATTGTCTTCATAGGTATCGGTGATTCTAAACAATCAAATTTTGTACCCTGTCTTTCGCATGTCCGTGGGCCTTAACCCCAGAGGGTGTCATCTATAATGTTCCTTACTTGTACGGGAACCACTGAAGTCGTCACTAAGAGGAGAAGTTTGCTTGCAGTTTGTTTCGGTTGGGTGTGCTTTACTGCCATGTAGGTGTAGGGTTTCACAGCTAGCTTTCCGCATAGTGTCAAACGGGTAACATAAGCAATGTTTGCGGATTAGAAGTGAACGGGTTCGGGAAATATCAAGTTAGAAGTAAGAGTTTATTCTTGTATCGGTACGGTAGCATAAGTCAAACATTGTATCACTGACGTCGCGTTAGTGTGCAACCAAAGTCGCGTCAAACGCTTTATTATAGTTAAGGAGGACGGTGTCGAAGGGCGGCTCTGAGCCCGCGCCGGTGGGGTGTTGCGGGGGCTGAGACGGGTGCCGTGACCACTCTGTCCCGCCGGCTCCACTGGGCCGCGGACCGCGGTAGCTGTGGCCGGCGGCAGGGACGGCGGCCGGCGCCCTCACCCTCCCACTCCCACCGGCTCCGGCCAGGGCCGAGCCTTCGGCGGCGAGACCATGTGATTTCTCTGTGGTTCCCGGCGCAGTCCCCACAAAATGTATTTTAAAACGGGACCGCCTCATCTTGTTACCAATGTCGACATACATGTCGTCGGGTGTAAAACGGTGTCATTTGCCGGCGGCAATTCGTGTGCACTAGAATAGTTGCGTTGGTGGGTGCTTAGGTTATGATTAGTATTAAGAAGTCATCATCCATGGTCCTGTCTAGCCTGTCACATACACATGTGAACAGCTACTAATGAATAACTGCCAGACTGTTCCAAGGAGCTAGTTATTACGGCCATAATTTAGATGTTAAACCAAGGACACCAGTGGATGATGACTGTATCTGGTTGTTCGATGTTGCTCAAGCAGGCATCGGTACCTTGCTGCTTCTCTGTTGCTTTCCTTCTTGTAGCTGTGCTGTCACGGGAAACCAGGCTTAGGTGGCGGTGGGTCGCGGGTCAATAAAAGGCATTGGGAAAAAGGCTTCACCTTTGGCTCAATTTCACCAAATCAGAACATCATGCCTGACCAGTGACCACCAGTGTCGGGTACTAGCTGACTCGACCCGCTCCGCCGACCTGCGGCGGCGGGGCGTGACCTGCCGACCTGACCTGCTGTTGACCTGACCCGGCACGGCTGTCGACCAATGAGACGCGGCGCGGCCGGTGGGCGCTGTGTCCTGCTGTTGGCCCCGCCAGCCGGCCCTGTACGGCCAGCAGGAGCCGCCTGAGCGTGTGTAGCGCGGTGTGTGTGCACACTGCACGGGCGTGCAGGTTGTTGTGTGTCGTGTCAGCTGCTACTACAGTTTGCCACATGTTGTGGACGTGTGGGACCCCACCAGCACACCTGAGGGCAAACTAGGACACTCCCTTTGGCCAGGGAACCAGACAGGAACCACCGGGTCAGAACCAGGGAACCTCTGTGCCAACTGCCAGAACTGATATCCTACCGGGCTAGGACCTGGGATCCACAGGACCGGAATAGAGGAACCGTTGGGTCACTAGAACCAGGGAACCATCGGGTCAGCACCAGGGAACCATTGGGCCAGAATCAAGGAACCTCCCGGACGGAACCAACGGGGACCACCGGACCAGGGCCAGTTTTCTGAACCAGGGCCAAAGGGACCACCAGACCGGGCCAGAGGAGACCAGCACACCGGGGCCTGAGGGGCCGCCAGACCAGTGTCGAAACCGCAGGAGACCACCAGTCACAGACTGCTGGGGCTGGGTGTTCCGACGGTCCACCTCCGCCGCCCGGGTTCCTGTACCCCGAGGTCGGGTCACCGGGTAACCCAGCTGTCTGGTGGCGCGCCCTCCCTCCTCCGGCGGTGGCCGGCTGCTCCCCGCTCAATATGTCGCGCAGTCTGTGTGGTGTCGGTGGTCGGCGCTCTCGCCCAGTGAAATACACGCCGTGTGAAGCCGCCGAGAGTGTCAGACGGAGCCAGTCACCCGGAACTGAGTCAGACTTCCTCGGAGGGGAACTGCGCCACACCGGGCGCCGGGGGCAAACGAGCTGAGAGGCTCCGGCTCCGGCCGAGAGCCGGGAGCCGCCGATAGGCAAATGTAGGAGAGGAGACGCTACCGGGGCCACATGCGCTATTAGTTGAAAGATACGAGTTACAGTGATGAATAGTTGGGATGCGTAAAATACGCCCACTCTCACCACCACTCGAAGTGGTAAGTTCCTTACCTCTAGATTTGGCCATCCGGGTTCGATCCCCGGGCAATACACACGGCATTGCCGCTACCTGACCGCTTGGAACAGCCTGAGGGTTCCGGTTGCCGCTACCTGACCGCTTGGAACAGCCTGAGGGTTCCGGTTAGCGCCTTGGTCCACTGGATGTGGTGCTTAACCCGAACCAAACCAGCCAACCACCACTCGAGTGGGACAGGGGGCACTGGGTACAAAACTGAGACTCTGACAAGTGACAGCTTGGTCGCCCTGACAGCTGACAGCTGTCGAGCTGACAGCTGGGGGTATTCTAGCCGCATTGAAACTACTCGTCGCTGAAGCCTTATCTTGATGTCAATAGCATATACAGACTAGTCGATGTGAACTGGGGCACCGGGTACGTCAGCCAGGCTCACCCGTACTACGCCGTTCTTCGCAACTTCGCGTTCAATACAATTTGCAAGTTATTAAATAAAGTTGGTTATTAGTGGTTGAAGTTGCAAAGAGATAACAGTTAACCATAATATTTCTTTTAGAGAGAAAATCGCCTGGAGTAGTCGACAAAGGAGATTATGATGCGCCAGTCACGGACAGCTTGTTGAAAGGCGTTCAAAGTCGTGGGCACAGCGGGAGACCTGTTCGGATGTTAGACGTTAGTTGAGTGTGATCTTCGGTCCAGCGTCATCGACCAGCAGTCCAATGATCAAACGACTGTGAATTTCCTCGCCAGTGACCGTGCGGGACAAAATGGCGCATGAGCGTCATTCGCAATAAGTTCTGTAGTATACCGTCTGCACCGTTTTCCTCATTGGTACGATTTCGGGCACGATAATGTACCATACTCGGCAAAATATGAGAACACTCACCAGATAAAAACGAATGAGAACGTCCCTCAATAAGGAGCTATACGTATGTCTATGTTTCGATGCCAGATTTCCAAAGATCCGAGTCACGAATGAATATTTACATTAAGCTCAACATTTCATAGTCAAGTCACAGCGGCGCTCTATGAACATGGGACGATAAAATCACATTACGTAGATATTTCGTGTAAAATACAAACGAATATATACGAATTTGAACATAATAAAATGCAACTTCAAATGCATACAAAATAACATCACATAATCGACATCAAAGCACATCTGGATAACACCAGTCACGTTTGACGAGCCAATACCCGATCTCGCTGGCGACCAATGTTCGATAGGTGTCGGCGCTGGCTTAGTCGCGCCAGAAGCCGTCAAAGACACCGCCCAGTCGCGATGGATGTCCGGTGATTTGGTGTGCTGTCAGACTGCGGTATCGGCGCAGTCGTGGGAGCGACCTCTGACGCCAGCCGCGCAGCCGCTGCTATCGACTCGGCGGCTCGGAGTCGACGAGTCGCACTGATGAAAGTGTCTCGACTAAGTTGCACGGGTCCCCCGACTCCGTTGTCCCCCGAGTCTCCCGGCTCGGCTGTCCAATTGTCCATGAGTCTCCCAACTCAGGTGTGCGAGTCTCTAATTTGAATTGTAAGTCTCTGAGCTCAGTTATACGGATCTCTTGGCTAAGTAGTACGGACCTCTCGGCTCAGCGTTAACAGTTCCCACCTCAGCGGCGCGAATTCCCCAACTGAGCTGTAAGAGTCCCCCAACTCAGCTATCTGTGTCTGCGTCGGCTCAGCTGCCGGCCACCACGGCCCCCTCGAACAGCTCGAGCAGCCGTTTGAGCTCACGCACCTGTACGGCCAGTGGGTGGACCTGCTTCACGGCCTTGTTGAGCTCCTCGGTCTTGGCCATCAGCTGATACATCGCCTGGGGGCAGACGGAATAGCATGAACCGCACGGTAAACGGCACCAGTGCGACCGAGACTGGCGTCCCGCTCACAGCTATAAAGGGAGCCCGGTATTACCCCAGGCTAATGGCGATGTTACTAGCATACCACGTGAGAAAGACATAAACGAATAAAACGATCGTGTGACGCACACCGTGTGATACGAAGGATATGATCCTTTATTTGTTTTATTCATTCGATGAACCGCCCACAGACAATGCTCATTACCAGACATGTAAAACAAGTTTCCAAATAACTCTGAAAGATATTAGAAGCATACAAGAAAGAAAATCACAGATAGTCCAATGCCACGCAAATACCTGTGGCAAATGGAAGCCGCTGCATAATGCGGCGATGAAAAGGGTTTCTCATTAGGAGACAGATGGCGTTGGATATTGTACTTAAGTCGACTAAAGTCGCTGGTGACCGGACCTGGCCGCTGGCGAACAGCACTTGTCGCTGCCGGAAACTATAGTCAACAAACTGAAATTGATAAACTGGTTCTTATTCAGCGCCTTACAACGAAAATAGAACTGTGGGTAGCATGTGTTTTGTCGCGTCACTTCAATCAATAGGGGGAGGGATAGAGGAGGAGAACGAGCCCTCCTGTGAATAGGCAAAAATAGTCCGTGGGAAGGAATGCTAAATAAAGAGAAAGGGTGTCTATTTGTGTCTGAGAACTGCCATAAGCAGACATTTCATCAAATGAATCCATAAGTAGATTTTAGACAGTAAGCTCACTTTTGCCCAGCACGTTGACGAGGTGACCAGGAAGGCTAACCGCATGCTTGGCTTGCTCATTCGGAGCATGCAGACCGCGCCATGTATGCGCGGAACTAGGTTCGACCATCGCCCCGTGATGACTGCCTATATCGCCCACGTCCGGTCCGTGATTGAGTATGCCAGCGTCATATGGTCAGGGGCTGCTGTAACCCACATGGCCCGCCTAGAGCGTCTCAATCACCGCTTTCTTATGTGGCTAGCTGCAAAAACACAGGGTAGGTGTCCTTCTCTGGACTACCAATCCCTTTTAAATCACTTTAGATGTCAGTCAATTAAGGCACGCATGACACAGGCTGATATAACTTTTATGCGTTCTATCTTAAGCGGCCGGATTGACTGTCACGAGCTGGTGGCGAAATTCAGCCTTGTCACTCAGGTTAGGCGTTCTCGGCACACAGGCCTTTTTCATGTCCCATTTGGCAGAGTTAACGCTGTGAAGTGTGGCTTGTTTATTCGACTACCCAACCAACTAAACAAATTCTTACACGAGCATTCGGAGGCAGACTTCTTCCAGCCGTCATGTCATTGGAGAGCACTACTGCTCCGCTTTGCGAGTAGTCAGGGCACTTTTAATGAGTGATATCGACTGATGTCAGCCAGCACTCTTTGCTACTTACTTTCTGTGATCGCGTCTGGTGTACGTGTATGTATGCTGGGAGGGGATTGTATGTGTGTATACTGTATAGGGGGAGGGCAGTGCGGGTTGAATGCCTGAGGGGGTGGGATGGGAAATTTTATTGCGACTGCAGCCTTAATGTGGGCCTCGGCCTGTGGTTGTTATGAAATAAATAAATAAATAAATAAAAGTAGCTGTCTTTCTTTTAAATGATTTGGCGTTTAACAACAGAAGAGCATAAACGTAGCCCCATCTACATAGACAAAAGACACAAAGGAAAGTGTGGGCCAGGGAACGTTAACCGGAAGCCACGAGTTTGATAATATGGCATGACAGTACAAGAATGCAGTATGTCAGCCCAGGAATGACGTGCAGTGTCCATGAAGAGTGAAGACCCCGCACCAGCGCGAGCGCCACTGTCAGGCAATACATAGTCGTAACGTAACGTAACTATTCGTAACGTGCGTAAACTAGTCGTGAACTATTTGTGTCATCAATGCGTGAAGTAAACTTGACAGTCTCAGTGGGAAGGCACGGTCACTTTGCGATGCCCACCGATTCGTGAACATGTCGTGAACTTATCGTGAAGTCGACGTGAGGTATTCGTGAAATGTTCGTGAGTCGTGACAGTTCGTGACAGTCGTGGCTTGTCGCACATTGTCACGCATGTGCACGCATTTCCCGCATCGGCCCAATGAGTTCACGAGTTCACGAACAGTTAACGAATAGTTCTTGCGACTCGGTCGCGAAAATTTGACGGGAACAAAATTAACATTTCGAAATTATCGCTCCGACATGCCATGCATTAACGAGTTAACCCACACTTCACGTCAGTATACGACTAGTTTAGGCACTGATTCGACTCGAATCGTGCCTTTAAATCACGCAAGTGTCAGCCTGTCTTAACCGACAAGACAGCTTAGCATTGCTCGGAGAAGGGGAAATGCATCCGAGACGGTGTTTAAAAAATGCACATCTAACTCAATGCACACATCTGTTGCGATAGCCTTGGAAGCAGACTGCATACGATCATATTCTGACTAGACCATACGAACCCCACGGTTCCGTGAGATCTGCATCGGAGATGAACCGGTTGTGATCATAGTAACACAGCCATTTGGGAGCATACATAAAGATACCACGCGATTGACGCACGTGCAAGCATCCAGGGAAAATAAACGGAACGCGCATCATATCGCATCAGATGTGACTTCTCGTTTTATTATAGCGCTCATGAAATTGGTTCAGGGATTAGGCTCCCTTTTCGGAGCTGTATCAAAGGGGATTTGGACAACGAATAAATGAGCAAAATCGATCTCCATAAAACACAAGCAAATGATTTTTGCAAAGGTACCAGCTCTACATTTATATGTCATTTCGGGCTATCGGCAACCATGTCCGATGCTAACATAAATGTTATCGAGAGACAGATACTGTTCAAAGACAAATTGACCATTCGGCGATTACGTAATGCTTGGGAGTTGGGAGTGTTCACTGTTCAGTGTCGGAAAGGATTGTTGACTTTTTTCATGATATCGATGCAAGAATAACGTAAAATATACAGAATGATATAACCCAAGTATGTACAGTCCGGCTTTTGATATGTAACGTCATAAACTCATCACTAGCGTTCAGTAATTCGTCCATCAGCTCAGCTGTTCGCGGAGCGTCGGACTGTAGAACGTACAACCCAGGCCCCACTCCCATCGTTGCTCGATATAAGAGACGGGGATGTTTTGCGATTGGAGGCAGCAGTCTGTTAAAATCAGAGTGACTAAAACCGACCGTCCTTGACTGGTAACTATGGAAGCTATCAGGGCAAATGCAAGGCATTGACTTCAACGCCTGCCGACACCCAGAACTCAACACAAATCAAGCTGCCATCATACCGTTCCGACCGTCTCACACAGGGAACAATCCGAAACCCGGCATAAACTCGATTTCGATGGCGAGACGCCTTTGGGGCGACGAACGAGCGAGTGCAACAGCACCTAAATCGGGTCCCAGTACCACTGGTAAGCGAGAAGCATTGACAGAAGACTCTGGTCTCACATTCCGACCGCCGTCACTCGCCAATTACCTTAATGTTGGCATCCACGCTGTCGCAGGTTTTGCAGACGGCGTCTCTGTAAGCCTCCATCGAGTCGACGGCCAGCGACGAGATGCTGTACATGGTGCCGGTGAGGCTCTCGATCAGGCCGTCGGCGGCGGCGGCCAGCCGGCGGGCGTCTCGCTCCAGTTCGTCCAGCAGCGCGGCGGAAGGGCGCAGCGGCGACCCGCGGCCGGCGCCCTCAGAGGGGACCGCCGGCTGCTCCGGGGTGGCCGGCGACAGGTCGGGCGAGAGCAGCGTGTCGCTGCCGCACCCGAGCGCGCTGGAGCGGCCGCTCGAGCCGCCCGAGCCGCCGAACGGGCAGATCTCCGAGTAGGAGGTGGTCATCAGCTGCCGCAGAGAGACAGGAGAGCGGGCGTGAGAGAATGAACATGCAGCGAGACGTAGACGGACACACTAACAACAAATTTGAAGGTACTATTGAAGTGATTATAATACAGCGCAAACAAGGGATATTAGCCAGCTTACACTGCTGCATGTCTTAAAAAATAAATGACACACCACCCTGAATCTTCCATAGCCAGACAGCAAGAGCCAGTCAGCTAACACCTGGGCTAAAACATGGTAAGATAGAGCACCCACCCTGTCTGGCCGCGCCTCCTCGGCGGCAGCTCTGTCCGGCCGCGTCTCCTCCATTGCTGTCCGGTCCGGCCGCGTCTCCTCCATTGCTGTCCTGTCCGGCCGCGTCTCCTCCACTGCTGTCCGGTCCGGCCGAGTGTCTGCCACGTCCACTGTGTCTGCAGTCTCCGCCAGCTGCTGTGGCGGACACGGTTCCGCGGCAGGCGCTACTGCGGGCACCGCGGCGACCCCGACTGGTCGACAGAACGGCGCACAGGAATTGGAGGCGGTCTCCTCTGCATCGTGGAGCTAGGAGCTCATGCAGAACTTCTGTGAATGATAGGAGTTTTATCACAATAGTTCTGAATTGTTTTATTGTGATTACTTTTCTCCATGCTGGCTAGGTAGGTACCTAATTTTAAAATGTACTCAGAGAATGAGTAAAACTCTACATTAAGGTAAACATGGCTTTCAGAGTATAAATTTGAGTTTCTTTTCCTTTCTTGTTTCAAAACCAATTGGAATATTAATGATCTATTATAACTGTATTCTTGATTTATGACTGCAGTAAAAATCACGTTTTGTTGTCTGCTATTGAAAGAGTGTAGCTGAGATAGTTGATTGGAGCCCACCAGAGTCTTGAAAGTTGGAAAAGAATGATAACCATGATAATACACTGTACTGGTTTTCATGTCGATCTCATGATGACTGACAATTACTCTTTGAATGCTGGAAAGACCACCAAAGTGGGGTTAAGGGACTGTACAAGAAATGTGAGAGCATTGGATTGTAAGAGATGGCACAGAGTCTGCCTGATCAGTGTTTGTTTGAATACCCACAGGGCTTACCACCTGGCAAAACCCTCTGCTCAATGAGCAGTCAAAAACACTTATGAAAAACTTTATCCTATGTGGGATGAACAGTGGCTGCATCAAAGCTGAAGGTGGGTAAATGTGAAGATGAAGTCCACATAAATAAAAAACATAATTGGCATTGGTAGAGCTGGCGTCACCGTCAGCGTATATTCCATAATAGGAGAGAAACTGCAGGTTGGCTGTAAAAGGTAGGCTGTAGGTTGTAGGTTGTAGGTTTGGTTAGGTTAGGTTAGATGCTCCGACAGTGACACCAGCTTTACTGATACCTACCACATTATCTAACCTGACCTAACCTTTGTCCTTACGGATTTTTAATTCGGATAAATCACTTTTTCACGCTGGTGGGCAATTTTCACCCAATGAAAAACATAGGTACTGTTGGGCAGGTGCTTCTTTTCAAAAAAGTTAAAAATATGAATTCATTTTTGTTTTGATGTTCAAATTTAACAATTAGGTATGTCCAAGGCTGGTATGTCTACAGTTTGCTTTGAAAAAAGCAAAAAGTGTTCAGGCCATACCGCAGCAAGCCATAGAGGCCCCAGCAAATATTAACCACAGACTCACCGCATAACAACAATGTTAATGTAGGTATTAAATTGATCTTATTATATATTCCTAATTATATTATATAATTATAATTATGTCTAATTATATATTATATTCCTTCCTAACTGTAACGTCTGTGATGGCAGTTTGAGTTGGCACTTCATAGGTCAAAATAAAAAGAATGATGTTCTAAAATAAATTCTCGAACTTGCCAACGCATCTTTCTGCTAAGTGAGCGAATTTTGAGCGAATCAACGCGTTAGTTTACCAAAAATACGGATGCACGCAAAGCAAATGAACAGGTAAGTATAAGCCATGTTTGAAACTAGCAGTCCAGAAATGGCGCACAACGTTTACTACCATATTCCTTTACGAAGTATTTTTTTACTAATACTAAAAAGACGGCAGAGCAATTTTGCGTTCGCTCGACCACTTCCTTGAGCAGGACCGCCGGATAAAGGCAGCTAGGGGGGGGGGGGGGCGGGTCTGGGCAGAGACTACGGTCTGCGATAACCGCGGCTTACTTCGTCCAAGGCCGTTGCGCCGTATTGGCACGACATTTGAGCAGCACTCATGCGGACAGCCAAAAGACAGTTCGGGTCTCCCAATAATGTATTGACGCCTGCGCTCCATAAAAACAACGGAAAATCACATCGGGTATCATCACATAGTTTGACAAGATTCCAGGACCTATTTTGAGGACCTCCGCGCGATTCTCTTTGCACAACAAAAAGCATCTAACAAAAGTATCAGTACTTCATGCAGAATCCCTACGATACAGCAAAAGCATGTACATCGAGACTGAATTCTGAGCCAGTCGACTCCTGGACTGCGCGCAGACATCTGACTTTGGCGCCTCTCCCGTCGCCAAGCTCGTGCCTGTGATCCCTTATCTTCTTCCAGCCTAACACTCGGACAGGGCAGCAACGCCCGGAAGCACCTTACCTGAAAACGGACAGCAGCAAGTTAGGGCAAATGAAATGCACGGCACCATACAGTATGCACTTAGCTGAACTTCTACCATGAATGAGTGAACTGAAACAAACCAGACCATCTTCGATCCATCCCACAAATTCACCCACCCAACAAACTGATCAGCCATCCACTGCCCTTTCAAACCCCACAAGCCATCCACGCTCCAACCCACCCACCCTCCACCACCAGCCCGTCGCCGCAGACTGACCCTCGAGCAGCTCGAGGCTGGCGCCGCCGCCGGTGCTGACGTGGCTGACGGACTGCTCGGTGCCGTATTTGGCGCAGCACGTGGCCGTGTCGCCGCCGCCGATGATGGTGGTGGCGCCGGACGAGGTGGCCGCCACCACGGCCTTCATCATGGCCTGTGTGCCGGCGGCGAACGGCGACAGCTCGAACACGCCCGGCGGGCTGCCAGGAGAGGGAGACGGGTTAGTCAGTGACGCGAGGTCGCTTATCGACGACACATTAGCGACACAAGGTCGCTTGCCGGCGCTACGTGGTTGGGTGGTCACTGATCAGACATCGGCCTACGTTGATTACTTTATCCTGACATGATGACGTGCAAACTTTGCAGCAAAAACGCTTCAATATAGGTGCAACTGTGTGGGGTCCTGCTTTAATGCCACTCGCTTGACCATATGAGTTAGAGCAGCGGGCTTCCACTGAGCTCAACTGAATCCGACGTCAATTCGGCACGCGGAACGCATCAATCGTCATAAGGTCAACTAAAAAATTTAGGGCGAATAAGTTTTCACGGGAAATGAATGTGGTTTTCGGAAGTGAAGCCAGCGGTACAATTTAAACTCAACGCCATGTGGAAGTCTGAATGAAGCGACCACCTCAAATAACAAAATATCGCTTGGTAAACTGAGCTATTAAATGACAAATTATCCAATCACCTACCCCACCTATCGGCTAACTCGTAAAGGAATGCACTAACCCGTTCCAGACGATGGTCTTAGCCCTGGCGATGACGGGCTCGAAGGCCGCCACCGACTTGGGCCCGACGTCCAGGCCGAGCCAGCCGTCCGGGATGCCGCCCTCCACCGTGGCAGAGCCCACCTGGGGGAGGGGGAGACGTGGTCAACGACATCACAACACAGCACAATATAGCACAATACAGCAGCCAGCCGTCCGGGATGCCGCCCTCCACCGTGGCAGAGCCCACCTGGGGAATGGGAATACATGGTCAGTGATACACAACACAGCAGCCAGCCGCACACTGGTCGGAAACGCTCCAGCGAGAGGCCAGCGGCCTTTCCGCAAAAGTTTTTTGCTTGTTATTCCACAACTAGTGAAGCAAACTTCATAAAACTTTGCATACCTTCTCTGTCATATGTAAGCTATCATTTGGATGTCAAGCACTAAATATATGACGTGAATCTGTTAAGTTATGACGTCATAATTGAGTATAATACAGGATCTAGCACCACTTTAAGTGAACAAGGGAAAGTGGAAGCTGCTATTCGGGCACCGGGAATGGTTTCATGCACTCCTTGCAAGGTCCGGTGCTTCACTTTAGCATTGTTGACTTTGCGTGACGTCATTTATGACGTCACTAAGGCCATATAAGTTTTTCGTCAATAACTCCTGATCAGATGGAGCTAGAGAGTCGGGAAAGCCACCATTGGACTCGGGAAGACCTGCCGAGTCGAGTGATGTGCGATATGTCCTCCTTCAACCATTTTCGTGACCTGAGGGGCTCCGACCTGACCTTGACCCGAGGTTAACGCCTTAAGTTGACTTCACCCGAACACCAAATATAGCATTCGACGCTCCTGAGCTAGACAAGCACGATGATGCCAAAATCGCGGCAGTGCGACCATTTTTGGCAAAGTAATTAACCAAAAACCGAGCCCGTGCCTTGTGGCACTTACCTGACCTAAGAGGTCACTGGCTGACCTAAGACCTTAAATCGGGTAGTACTTGCTGCGTCTTATAACGGCACACAAGCTCGTTTTTTTCCGCGAGGCTCTAGCTCAATTAGAGGCGAAACGGCGAGGGAGTTGTATCAACCCTCCCCGGTCAATATAGAAAACCAATCGGTCCGGCCAGGGCTAAATACCGGAATTGTGATCTAATGTAAAAAGACGGCCCAAGGTAACCTGACGCCAGTGACAGGTGTCCTATATTCGCAGCGTCTTATATTCACGAAGGTCTCAATTTCCACTTTCTTCAGCCGAGTGATGGTTGTCAATAGCAAGGCTCTCTAAATGCAAGCCGTAATCGCCACGCAATATGTGGAACGCTTTTAATGTCAATACATACATAAATGCAATAATAAAACCATATTGTATGCGCTTTCCACAAAATTCATAAACTCAAGCGCGTCTGTTTTTAATGACCAGTCAACTACGCATGGATGCGTGCAGGCCACACAGGTCAGCGTAAGCCGGGCGCGGCGGCCGAGCCGAAACTGGGGCGGGGCGGGCGGTAGTTGGGTAGGAATAGCGGCTCCTGCAAATTTTGCGCAAATATGCGCAGTTAGCTTTTATGTTGCCCTGGTGTAAATTTAAATCCTGCTTCATCTCACAAAAAATCAGAGTGGGACTAGATGGGACTACCTGTTGTTTCCTTACCTAAACTTTGCAGTTATATTCCAGAATCACTCTAGGAGAGCCATCATAAAAAAGCTACAGTAGATCTTAGTTGGGGAAAAAGTATACCAAAAAATTTGCACTGACCAGTCGGCAACTTCATAACAAACATTTTGATGCATAATATGTGGGATTTCAATTTGGTGTCTATCAGCAATAAGACTCTGAATATCCGGCTCAAGAAACCTCTTGCTCCGCGTCAGTTTTCGAGTTCTGGGATACCCCATCTTTGGGGGCTGATTACAGTTATTTTTGGTCACCCGGATTAGTTTTTTTGGCCTAATTATAATAATTTGATCAATTTCAAATCGATCTATATAAAAAATAATCCGAAACTCCGGAATCGCCCGTGGCCTCTCGTGAGGGCGTTTCCGACCAGTGTGAGCCGTCCGGGATGCCGCCCTCCACCGTGGCGGAGCCCACCTGGGGGAGGGGGAGACATGTCAGTGATAACACAGCACAGCACGGTACGGCACGGCACGGCACAGCACAGCACAAAACAACACAGCACAACACAGCACAACACAGCAGCCAGCCGTCCGGGATGCCGCCCTCCACGGTGGCGGAGTCCATCTGGGGAGGGTGGTAAGGGATATAGGTCAGCGATGGAAGCCTGGTGACTGGAAGAGCGGGTGGGACAGTGTGGGTGGGAATTTTTTTTTTTTTTTACCGAAATTTACAGATCGGCCGACAGGCAACAGATGAATCGGTAGAGCGGCCAAATGCTGCTGATTGAGCCAAATGGAACAGCAACACATAAGCGGGCTAAATACAGCGAATGAACAGCGAATTTGACACTTGGGTCTGTTCCAGATAAGAGTATTAAGTGAAACAGCCTTGATAACTAAGGCGATTCATACGCGGGAGAAAAGCTAGAATTATAATTCCAGTTTAACAGGTAAAACTAAGAACCGATTTACCGAAATAAAAGAATCCATATATCATACGTACGTTGGCGGCCTCGTCGAACTTGTCTGCGGTGACGAAGTCGACCGGC